CTGAGAGACCGGCTAAGCGACGATCTACGGCTCGACCCGGCGAAGGTCGGCGTTGTTGTTGTTGATCACGGTTCGCGGCGCACCGAGAGTAACGAGCTGCTGCACGATGTGGCGGCGTTGTTCGAGCGGGTGTCGCAGATGCCGATCGTTGAGCCGGCGCACATGGAGCTGGCGGAGCCGTCAATCGCCGCGGCGTTCGCACGGTGCGTCGAGCGCGGCGCCGAGACGGTCGTCGTCTTCCCTTACTTCTTGTCCCCGGGCCGACACTGGTCGCAGGACATCCCTCAGCTGGCGGCGGAAGCCGCCAGGAACCACCCGGGCGTCCGCTACCAAGTGACGTCGCCCCTCGGCCTGCACGAGCTGATGGCGGAGGTGATGAGCCTGCGGATCGCCCAGTGCTTGCAACGCTCGCTGGGCGACGGCGAGGCTTGCGATCTCTGTCGGCCCACGGGAGGGTGCGTAATGCAAGAGGGCGGCGAGCCGTCAGCGTGAGCGCCCGGAGTGAGCCGCGCGTGCGCATCGCTAACCGCACATTTGGCTCGACCCGCGAACTCAATCGGTCGATGCCTAGCAAAGCCGCGCGCCTGGATGCGTGGCCGCGCCCGCTCTGCTAGCACTCCAACGGAGGAGCAAGGATGCTCACCCGCCGTCTCGCTGTCGCCGCTTTCTGTTTCGTCCCAGCGCTGTCGCTCGCCGACAAGCCGTTCGTCCCCGGGACGGGCGATCACATCTACCAGGCGTTCGACGATTTCGAAGACGCCAACTGGTCGTACCGGCTCAACCTGCCCAAGAGCAGTTACGAGCAGGACGAGAACCAGCGCGCGCCCGGCGCGGTCTCGGCCAACAAGCTCTGGCATGAAGGCGCCAAACGCGGCACGCCCGACGTGGTGAAGCGTGTCGCCACGCCGCCCGGCGGCATCCCCGGCAGCGAGGGCGCCCTGCTCTTTCAATCGAAGGACACCGGCATCCCCGGCCGCATCACCAACCAACAGCAGCAGGACGACCTGCTGATGAAGGTCGATCGGATGATCGGCCGCTCGATCCCTGTCACTTGGCAGCCGAGCTGCACGGTGCGCGTCTACCTGCCGCCGTTCGAGCAATGGGAGCAACGCAGCGGCGCCAGCTTCGGCATGCGCGCCGACTGCCGTGGCCGCATCCCCGAGGGAGAGACCGCCGCTTACTGGCCGGGCATGTTCATCCTGTTCCAGAAAGGCAACGCCCAGAACGGCGGCGCCGACCACGCCCAGATCACTGTCCGTTCCAACGGCAACGGCCAGGACATGCGGAGCACCAAGATCACGGAGCCCGGCTGGTGGACGCTCGGTATGTCGTTCACACCCGACGGGCAGATCCACTACTACGGCCACGCCGGCGTCGAGGACCTGACCGAAGAGGACTTCCTGGCGTCGAGCTTCCCGTACAACTACCGCTGCCTGGCGTTCGACAACTTCTTCTTCAACGTCGCCAACTGGGACAACGGCAAGTCGTGGAGCACCCCGTGGGTGATCGACGACCCCAAGGTCTTCGTGATCCCGCCCGCCGGCCAGTCGATCGCCAGCCTGCCGCGGAAGAAGGGACAGCGCGTCGAGACCTTCCCGATCACGCACATCCACGACGCCGACAAGCCGAAGTCGAAGAACCCGTTCAACTTCCTCTTCGGCGGGAGCCGCAACGCGGGTCGCTCGAGCCGCAGCCACCGCTGAGGCGGCTGGACGGCCATTCGTGGCGTGACGCAACTTACGCCCGTCGGTAATCGTGTCACGCCTCCCGGCTTCAACGCGATGAGGGACCAGGCCTGCTCAATGGCTTGAATTCGCGTCCCGCAGCGAGGCCGATACAAACGTCCACCGGCGGCGAGATCGTGCGTTAGGGAGCATCCTCGGCGATTTGGCGCGGGCCTGATGGGGTGTGCGAGAGTGAGCCGCCGGCGGGAGCTCAAGTCCAGTCCGAGGTTCCGCGTCCGAGGTGATCGGGTCAGGACAGAAGGCTTCGGCGCCCAAGGCTGAAGTCATCTTAATATCACCACCCGGCCATGGAAGTCATTGGGATATCGATTTCCCATTTCCATGAAGCAAGCGCCAACGGCTGCGAAAGACGTAAGTGAATAACTAGCAGCAACTTACAGGCATAGCACGGCTGCTTCGGCGCCGTCGTTGCTACCCTCTGCGAGCAAGCCCCACACGGGGCGAATGCCACTCGCAAATGGGGAAAGCTACGATGTTCCGTACAACGCTCGCCGTCGCTGCCGTATCGCTGCTGACACTTCCCGCCGCCGCGAATCACAGCCACAAGCACGACCCTGGCGCGGGCGGCCTTCACGGCTACGTGGACCAGGTCCGCTCGCAGATGGCCCTGGTGCAGGCCCAGACCGACGCGACGTTCGAGCGTAGCCGATTCAGCCGCCTGATCGCCGGCGATGTCTACCGCGACCTGGACGACCTGTGCCGCGAACTGGATCGGCTCGAGGAGATCACCGCTCGGCCGATCGTGTCGCGGGGCGACTACCGCCGGCTGGAGCGGGCCGTTGAGCGGGTCGATGATCAAGCGCGCGACCTCGAAGAGGCCGTCCGTTCGGCCTTGGCCGACCCGCGGCGGTTCGGAGGCGGTCCGAGCTTCCTGCCGACCACCGGGCCAGTGTACTACCCCGGCATCACCACGCGTCCCATTAGCAGCGGCGGCCTTCGTGTCGTGATCGGCGGCGGCAAGGTCGGCGTCAGCATCGGCGCCACGCCCCACATCGCGGCCCGGCCGGTCTCGGTCGGCCGTCACGGCCACCGCGACCGTAACGGCGACACCCTCTGCGCGATGACCGACAACCTCCGCCTGATGACGCGGCAGCTGGTGGCGCTGGTGTCTCGCTGAGCAGCCGCACCGACCCGCCGCAGCACCCACTCTCTCGCACCCCGCCGCCGGCTGTTGAACTGGCGGCGGGGTTGTTTGTTGGGGGGGGCATCGGATAAACCGGCGGTTGGCTGAGTTAACCGCAGGGTTCACACCGAGGGCTATCGCCCACGGCTCAGACCGACCCGCTGGCTTAGGTCTCCCCTTTCGACTTTCCGCTTTCCCCTTTTCATCCATGCCCCGCAATCGCACTTACGACAACGCCGCCATGGCGATCGGCGACACGCCGATGATCCGCATCAACCGTCTTGTGCCCGAGGGCCACGCGACGGTGTTCGCCAAGTGCGAGTTCTTCCAGCCGCTCAATAGCGTGAAGGACCGCATCGGCGCCGCGATGATCGAGGCGGGCGAGCGTGACGGCCATCTCAAAGAAGGGACGCACATCGTCGAGCCCACCAGCGGCAACACGGGCATCGCGTTGGCGTTCGTCTGCGCGGCGAAGGGCTACTCGCTGACGCTGACGATGCCCGAGAGCATGTCGCTCGAACGCCGCACGCTGCTGAAGGCGCTCGGCGCGCACCTCGTGCTGACGCCCGCCGCGGAGGGGATGAAGGGCGCCATCGCCAAGGCGAGCGAGATGGCCGCTCAGCCCGGCTGGTGGATGCCGCAGCAATTCGAAAACCCCGCCAACCCGGCGATCCACGAGGCGACCACCGGCCCCGAGATCTGGGAAGACTCAGGCCATGACATCGACGTCATCGTCGCCGGCGTCGGCACGGGCGGAACGATCA